ATTGCAATGTTGGGTTGGTATGGATGTCTAATTAATTGTATCCATACAAATTCTTTCCCTGTATTCTTTTATTCCATAATCCTATTCAAAACCCGATCCCAGGAGAAATGGCATGTCCTCACCAGCTCTGCAAACCTTTCATGAAGAAGTTTTCTTTCATTCTGGACTTGGCTATATAAACAGAGGTGTGAAGAGTCCTCTTCAGTGGCTGAAGGAGTCTAGTGTTTTTTCCTGTCCTAAGGTGTGAAGCCCCAGGGATCCCACCTCCTTGGCATTCTAAGGAGAGATTCTTGAACACACAATGCTGTGTTTATGACCAGCCAGCCTAGTTTGCCTGGCACTGAGAGGTGTCTCAGGACATAGGATCTTCAGTCTAAAAGCAAGAAAGTCCTAGTTGGACTTAGTTCCGAGGAATGACTCACCCTATGACTCTAAGACCAGGAAACACATGAAACCTGATAGAATTGAGACTTATCCAAACAACCTGCAAGCTAGATGGAGAAATTCTAGACATTAATAGAAAGACTAGTTTAGGTTGGTTATTGCCTAACACTCAGTCCCATCTGGGCAGCTGGTTAAGTCTAGATTATTGGATCATTTCTATAGTCCCCATGCTGAGAGAGTTCTGCACTCCAAAAGCTCTTGCTCACTTTATTTTCTCATAATTAGCTCCCTGTTCATTTACAGGATGTGCTGGATGGCTGTCATCCGTCAAAGCAAGAGCTATGGCACCAACATTGGGAGTAAGAGCAATGAATTTACCACAGCCTGTTTATTATGAATTCGCATCTATGTGCTTTCATATATTTGAGCACTCTGATTATAATTTTATTCTCTTCATTAATTGGGATAGAATAAAAATCAAAGAGGAAAAAATGGTAAGGATCTCTTGCCTGTGGCTTCTTCCTCCTTACCAATCCTACCCCTCTTTTACTTTTGGTCCAAAGAAAGGAAATTCTGTCAGGCTGTGTCTTTTCTGAGGATGGTTGTGGCTGACTAACAATTTCATCTAATTGAACATATTTGACTCCTCTTTTTTAAGATCTTGTTTGAGCCCATTGGAAGTCTTGGAGACAAAGCCAGGGCCCAGGACACCCTGAAGCATGTATTCCTCCTGAAATTAAGTCTTCACATCATGTACCCTGTGATCCTGTCCATCAGAAGCTGGGTGTCACTTCTTACCTGGTGGTTTTGTTCTCATAAAATTAATTTCTCCTAAGATCTACTCAGAGGCAGAAATAATTATTATTGGCTCAATTACACTATCTTAGGAGACAAATCTGGAAATGAAAACATTCTTACGACCAGGTCATTGAATCAGTCCAAAATACTCTCTAAATTTATTGTAATAATTGAAAACATAATAACCAAAATATAGTGAATGTGTTTCATGCTTTCTTATCCCAAATTAAGGTAATCACAACAGAGCTTAAAAAGTCCTCTATATAGACAGAAACTCTAGACTTTCTCTCTATATTACTGTAATTAATTAATTTTCTATTATTTGTTCTGTGGGTTAATGGGGAAAATTTTTCATAAATCTTTTTTAGCACTTGTGACACGTCAATCATATGCCAAATAATTCACACTATTTAAACAAAATAACTACATAGTAATATTGGAATTCATATCCCATTCTTGAATGAGTATTTGAGTAATTTGCCTAGGACCAGTCACCTCATAATGGAAGAACTATGCTATGCTCTTCCATGGGCATGATCCAATGCTCATGGCCTTTTACCTATAATATACTGAGTGGTGCTAATCCCATCTTTTTTGCATGACCCTGATACATGGTATGTGAGGAGGGTAGGATCATTCACATATAGAAGAATGAAAGAAAGAAGGAAGGAGGGAAAAGATAGTATCCATCCTTTCTGCACTTGCTGATTCCTTAGTAATCAGCCAATCTCTCTCTCTCTCTCTCTCTCTCTCACTCTTCCCCCCTCCCACTGTCTCTCTCACATTCCCATATCTGAATCTTTTCTGTATTTTTCAAAAGCAAGATTTACAATATGAATTCTGGATAGAACATGAATATTAATTTTCTTTAATTCCTTCATATTTGCTTAATCCTTTCCTGGGTTCATCTTGTATTTTGTCAGCTTTCCCACTTGATTCTATGTGGAGCTCCCAATTGGTACAGGAAGTTTTGGCCTTTTCTAGAACCCCTGAAATACTCTCTGCTCCCCTCCTCATCAATTTTCTATTTTTCTGGTTTAAATCAGCATTTTCATTGTGTTATTCACTTAACTTTAAATTCTGTCTAGATTCACATTAAAGATCATTATCGTTCTACCTGTGACCCTACCAAGTAGGGTCTGTTTGAGTCACAGGGCCCTATTAAACCTTTTGTTTTCTGGGATGAAAGTATTCCGAGTATTCTTTCATATTTCAAATTTTGCCTAATTTGGCCTTTGTTACCGTGTAGTTCTCATTCCACTATTTTCTCATTTCCACTACATAATTATTCCCTAAAATATGCTAATTTTTAAGCTGGTGATTTGGATGCTATTTAATTACTTGGATTCATGTCTTCTATTTATAATTTTTATTCTGTCCATATGAGGTCTTTGCATTGTATCCTACCTTATTATCATCTGAAAATTTCATCAGATACGTTATATGTATTTCTTTTCCATTATTAGTGTTCAGTCGTCATGGATCACCAAGAGGCTCAATGCCAGGAAATTCTCAGGAGAAGACATAATGCTTGTTTGGTAGGAATTGTTGAAAATGTTTCCAAATTAGTAAAATAGTTTTAAAAAGGGTTGCTACTTGCTTTTTTTGGTATAGCTCCCTTTGCCCTGTCCTCATTGAAATATATTGACTTATTTCATTCTATGATCTTTGATGCATTTTTAGTGCATGTCACAAGTCTCTAACTTCAAGGGATGCTTCCCTAAAATATTTGGATAGAAATTAGTTGTCATACATTTGTCTCTAAGTTGTTCATTTGGCAGCTATGTCTCTGAATAGCAGTTTCTCTGCAGTTACTTTGCAATGGACACTGTTCTCTTTGTTCTTGGTGATGGACTGGAATTCTACGACCATGTCCTCTTTAGTATGGTAGTATCATCACCTTGCTCTCAAACCCCATGGATTATAAACTCCATTAGTACAGGGCTGAGTTCTTATTTTTTTTTTTTATCAATTTTTACCTATTTATTTGAATGGTAGAGAGTCAGAGATATGAAAGACAGAGAGAGATCCAGAGATACAACACGCATTTGATGGTTCACTTCCCAAATGCCCTTAACAGCCAGAGCCTAGACTCAAGTTGGGAGCCAGGAACTCAATCTGGGTCTCCTATGTAGACAACGGGGAACTGTCATCTCCTGCTGCCTTCCAGGGTGTGCTTTACCAGGAAACTGGAATTGAGAGCAAAACTGGGCCTCAAACCCTGGCATTTTGATTATAGGATGTGGGCATGCCAAGTGGCATCTTAACCATTACATTAAAAGTCTGCCCTTGGGTTCTCATTTTTTGGTGATCATGTTCCAGGCACTCAGCACAATGTTTGTCCATAGTAGATTCATATACTATATGTTCTGGGTGAATGGCTTTAATTATTTGTTATTTGTCAAGCACAACAATACTGAGCATTGGGAATCCAGTGGTTATGAAGAAATGAATGCTTTCTTATAGGCTATGGTTTGGCAGGGAAAGTTAAGAGCTAAAGAATTAGAATAACATATGATAAGTGATATGCCATGTTGATGAGACTGATGGAAATTGTGCAAGGGAAGATTGTAGCGTGGGGTTAAGTAAATATCTAAGGACTCTAGCTGGATAGTGAAAGAAATGATGTCAGAATGTGGTGAGAAATAGGATGGGAGAGGGAGTGGGAGATGGGATGGTTGGGGGTGGGAGGGAGGTTATGGGGGAAAAAAGCCACTATAATACAAAAGTTGTACTTTGGAAATTTATATTTATTAAATAAAAGTTTAAAAAAAAGAATGTGGTGAGAGAGGGGCTGGCACTGTGACATACTGGGTTAAGCCACTGCCTGCATGGCTTCTCATATGGGCACTGGTTGGATTCCTAGCTGCTCCAGTTCTGATCCAGCTCCCTGCTGATGTGCCTAGGAAGGCAGCAGAACATGGCCCAAATGCTTGGGCCCCTACACCCATATGGGAGATCTAGAAGAAGCTCCTGGTCCCTGGCTTCTGTCTGTCTCAGCTCCAGCCATTGCAGCCATTTGGAAAGTGAACCAGCGGATGAAAGATCTCTCTCCCTGTTTCCCCCACCCACGAAATTTTGCCTTTCAAATAAATAAATCAAGCTTTTTTTTTTTTTCCAAAAAAGCATGTGGTGAGAGAGAGAGTAGAGGGTCTATGACATGAAGAAAGTATTGAGTGAAAGAATTGGAGCAATTGATATTGTGGTCAGAAACTGGGATATTTGGCTCTTTAGAAGTTCCAGGTAAAATCTCAGATCACTGTTTGATGTGGGATAAGATAGCCTGTAGCAGAAAATCGCTCAGAATAGTTCAAGGAACTGATGTCAGAGGCTGAGCTGGCTCACCCACATGGCACTGATTTTATTTGGAAGAATCAGATAGTCTATATTAAAATATCAGTGAAATATCTCAATCTTTTCTTCTTCTAGGAAACAGATCACCTCTTTTGAGTCAGGTTGCTGTTCTAGGAGCACCCATGCATCTCTGTCATGCCTGGGACGACACTTGTCCCAGTGAATGGTCATTGCCCTTTTTCATGTTAGTGAAGCGTTTGAGAGCAATAGGCCTTTGAGGATTGCATTGTGCCTCCAGTTCTAGCAGAAGAGACAGTGCACAGAAGTGCTTGATACATATTTTTGAATGAATAAGTTAATGAATTCAGTTTCACTAGTAGCTTTAGTTACAGGGGTAGGTTGGTGGAGGAGCTCAACATTATCAGAACCTACTTCTTCTTTCCATTTTCAAACTGCTTCCTTTGGTTTAGCTTTGTTTTTAGACATCTCTCTGTTTATGCTACAGAAATGGAAGCAAATCTTACCTTGCCCTGTCCATTGTTTCCATAGTTAGGTATGTGCACCCCACAGAGTACAAAACATGACTCCATGCATCTGAGATAAGAGTAGGAAAAGTCTGGTTACCTGAAGGGAAATCAAGGGGGTCATTATCTAAAGAAGGGTGAATGGGTCCTGGCTGGCAGTAACCATAGACATCTCCCACAAAAGCCAGCAATAATTATTTCTCTTATGGAATCAAGAAGTACCAACTGCAAGAAGTCCAGAAGTTGGGCCTTGTTTGCTCTTCAGAGCTTGGAAGTCAACACTGAGGTTTGTATGAAGGTCACCTGCCTTTGTTCCCGATGAGCTGCTCACTCTGACTTCCCAGAATCTCAAGGTAGCTGAACTACAGGGTCTGCAAGCTGCTGTGAGTCCCCTCCTCACCCTTTCAGGAGCCCTTTGCACTGTGAAGGCAGGAGCACAGTGGCTGTCCTAGGCTGTCTCTTCATTAGGAATTCTTTTAAATTATTGGGGGGGGGGAGCCATTGTAATCCATAAACTGTACTTTGGAAATTTATATTTACTAAATAAAAGTTAAAAAAAAATCTGCTTGGGCTGGCACCGCGGCTCACTAGGCTAATCCTTCGCCTTGCGGCGCCGGCACACCGGGTTCTAGTCCCGGTCGGGGCGCCGGATTCTGTCCCGGTTGCCCCTCTTCCAGCCAGCCCTCTGCTGTGGCCAGGGAGTGCAGTGGAGGATGGCCCAGGTGCTTGGGCCCTGCACCCGCATGGGAGACCAGGAGAAGCACCTGGCTCCTGCCTTCGGATCAGAGCGGTGCGCCGGCCACGGAAGGAAGACCTTTCTCTCTGTCTCTCTCTCTCGCTGTCCACTCTGCCTGTCCAAAAAATAATAATAACAATAATAATAAAAATCTGCTTATGTAATATAAGCCAAAAAAATGCACTGACAGGGACATAATAGTGACTTCCGACAGAAATTAGACTTGCACATCTTCTAATGAATAGCCTCACTGCTGAAAGCAATGACACTGTCTTGGTGGAGAAAGGAAGATAAAAGTACAGGAAATAGTGTGTGTGTGTGTGTGTGGGTGGGTGGGTGTGGGTGTGGATGTGGTGAAGCTGAGAATCACTGAAAGCTGTAGACGAAGAGAAAGGGCCATAGTAGATTTCAAGATGACAGAAATGTTATATCTTGGAAGCCAGAGGCTAAATCTCTTCAGGGTATTTAGCCATGCACAATGATCTAATAATTAAAATCACTTACAAAATATAAAAAGCCTCAATGGTAGAAAAATAGCAAAATCCATTTTAGAACCTAAATCTTAGGAAGGGAGAAAAATAAAGCAATGGACAAGTTACCATGCAGAACAGACATGAGCATGTTCTTTTTATCTCTTGGACAGGATTCTCCCATGGTTTGGGCCATTTAAATTCTCTTCCCACTTACAAATTACTTTAACATTTCTAAGGGACACAGATGTCTCTTACATTGATAAGTGGAGTGTCAAGCGTCACTTCCAGTAACAGGAAAAGAATCCACAGTCTTTAATTTTTACATCTAATTGACTTCAGTTGAGGTGTAGTCAAATGTATATTATTTCTTAATTTGACACCTTCCATTTAAGAGGTCTTATTTTATAAGTGTCAGAGTCACAGGTGTGAAATTAGTCACTGGGAAGGCTAACTGTTCCAGATTCTTTTGACCTTATGGCTGGAAGGAATTTAATTGTAACCTCATAAAAAGAAAGGAATTCTGGCCACTAGGGAAGATGATTACATAGTCAGTGACAATGTGAACTTGAATGGCTACATTAGCTCTTTAATTATAATGAATCAGGAAGAAATGTTCAAGGTTGGAAAGGAGGCACTTGGTAGGGATAATGACAAGCACTTATGCAAATAGTATCAACACTGTTAGAATGAAGAGGCTGGAGCTTCTTGGGTCCCTGGAGAGGTCAGCCAGGAGAGATGTGCAAGAGCCACAAAAGATTTGACATTTGTCTTTATAGGCATCCTGTAAAGTGACACATTTCTGTTCACTAAGTCTCAGGTGTTATTTCTGTTCACTAAGTCCCAGGTTTTTTTTTTTTTTTTTTTTTAATAGCTGGTTCTGTTGTCTTCCCCCTGGAATGTTTCATGATAATTTAGTGGTAACTTCAAAACATGTGAATGGAAGGGGAAATAAAATAAAATAGCTGAGACCAAAATATCAAAAGCTCCTTTTTTTAATATAAGTTCTCACTAGTAAAAAAACTAATTGCTTTGTTTGTTTTATTCCCAGCCCTGGCTTCAATTTTCACCATCTCAAGGCATCCAGGGCTATTTTTAATGCAGAGAAGATAGTCATTAAGACTAGATGAATAAAGTAATGATGGAAGGAATGGTTGGTTATGGGGCATGAATGTTGTAAAAGAGAAATAAAGCAGCTAAAAACTGAATTAAGAAAAAGAGCTTCAATATTTGGTCTCAATTTAAGTCATTTTCTAATACTGAAAATAGACGTATTTCTTGGAATTCTTAAAGAAAGTCTGTGGAGAACCCTTGTGAGATAATCCTTTTTAATCAGAGATTACTTAATTAAGGTGAAGATGTAAAAACAACTTTACCACCCACAGACCTGTGTCAGAATAATGCAATGGATCTCTGTTTATAGAAGATCAGATGGTCCTCAATGGAGTTCTTTCTTCTCAACAATGTAAAAAAGTTCCTGTGAAATATGTTTTCTTATAGCAAACCACATCTTGCACGGATTGTTTAGGATAAGAAAACAGTTATTCCTCATTCCTAGTGCTTCCTTCCATGTGGCTAGAACGTCTGTTACAATCATTTCCCCCTCCTTGTCTTTTAACTTCTCTCCAGAGGAAGTAGTCTTATTGGATATGTCAGTCAGGGACTGACCTTTTCTTCTGGTGCCATTCCACATCCATGGTTCTCAAAGTATGTTCTTGGGACAACAGTATCACATGGAGATTTGGAAGAATTCGTTGCAAGGATGAGCAAAGATGGCCTCTGTCTATCGACACTAGGTGCATCGCAGGAGGCTGAGTTCAGAGAACTCCAAAGCCTAGCGATGCCAAACTCAGGTTTTACACATCCAGCTGTCTTTAAACATAAGCCCAGATAAGTAGCTTCTTAGCTATTTAGAGTCCATTTGCTTTGTATACCCTGACAGGGAGTCTACTACCTTCTGTTAGCAATAGATATGGGAAATGCTGCTGTTATAAGTAAGATTCTAGGCTACTGCTGCACTTCAGAGCTTGCTGGCCCAGAGACTCCCTGCTGGGTTGCTGTGCTACCCCCTAGAAATATAATCCCCTTCTCTAGTCCTCCTCTCCTATGGGAGTATCTTAGTTCTCCAAGCCTTATGGTCTCATGCTATGAGAGACTTCCCCCTGGATAAGCTTGTCAGTGTCCCTGAATAGAGCTCGCTATGTATAACTGCCATCCCCTGGTCACATCTTTTTTGTTCAGCGTTCTCCAAAGCCCTAGAAACTTAAGACAGAATTGTGAGTTTTCAGGCCCCACCCCAGACTGACTGGATCAGAAACTCTGGGGTGCACAGTAATCTGTCTTTTAATGGGCCCTTCAGGTGATTCTTTGCTTGCAGTAGTTTGAGAACTACCACCTTAAATTTTACAGGGCTACAGCCCCACTGTGGAAGCCTCAGTTCTCCAGCATGCGTGCTATGATATGGTGGTAAGGTAGGTAATTCTGTATTATTTGCCTGTCACTGTGTATCAGATTTGCCCTCAAATTTGGTGACTTAAAACACTAAAATTTACTACCCACCTGTTTCTGTGGTTGAGAATTTAGAAGTAGCATTGGTAGACGGCTCTCAGGTTTCTCACGTGGTCACTGTGAAGACATTGGTTGTGTTTTCAGTCATCTGGTGTCTTAACAAGGGCCGGAGGATCTGTTTCTTTCTTATTTTTTTTTTTTTAAGATTCACTTATTTGAAAGGCAGAGATAGAGAGAACGAGAGAGAGAGGGAGAGAGAGGAGAGAGAGGAGAGAGAGGGGGAGAGATGAAGAGAGGGAGAGAGAGAGGAGAGAGAGCCGGAGAGATGGAGAGAGACAGAGAGAGAGACAGAGAGGGAGGGAGAGAGATGGAGAGGGAGATATCTTCATCTGCTGGTTCACTCCCCAAATGGCTGCAACTGCAGAGGCTGTAACAGCAGAGGCTAGGCCAGGCCATAGCCAAGAGCCAGAAACTTTTTCCAGGCCTCCCAAGTGGATGCAGGGGCCCAAGTACTTGGACCATCTTCTGCTGCTTTCCCAAGTGCATTAGCAGGGAGCTGTATTGGAAGTGGAGCAGCCAGGGCTCACACCAGCACCTATATGGGATGCTGACACTACAGGCAGAGGCTTAACTTTGTACCCCGTAGTGCCAGCCCCCTGGAGGATTTGTTTCTAAGATGGCACTTTTACCTGGCTGTTGGGAAAAGCCTCAGTTCCTCACCTTGTGAGCTTCCCCACAGGGCTTCTGTGGTAACCTCATGACAGGGCAGCCGGCTTCTTCCATAGGCCAGGATCTAGAAGAGAACAAGAGAAGAATGGTGTCAGAGTTGTATTTATCATTCATCCTGATTGACATTCAAGTCAGTACTATTGAGTATGGGGGAGGGCTACCCCAGGATGTGAATATCAGGTAGCAGGAATCATTAGGGGCTTTCTTGGAGACTGACCAGAATTTTCTCCTTAAATCAGGAATGAGACATTGATTTTCCATGTTTCTCAAACATAATCTGTATCAGGAATCAAAGGTGATATTTTACTGCTGTCTGCTTATGCCCATGTCTCATCTGATTGCCAGTGGATGGGGAAGAGCAATATTATTTATTGACTCCCTTAACACCCAACATACAAGAAATAGTAAATAATGGTAATCTATACCTTGTTTTTTCTAATAAACTGCCAAATGTACATCTCTGCCATGATGTTCTATGGCAGCTCAGGCACGAAATTAAACTCCTGATCTATGCTGCTAGCCCTGATTTTTTTTTGTCTTTCATTTCCTCCTCATAGTCAATAGCATCACCATCCAGCCAGCTGCCCAAGTCAGGAATTTGGGAACTTCTCAACTCCTGCTTTCTTCATCCCTCAAATCCTGTTAATCACGAAGTCCTGTTTCTTTTACCTCCTTAATAGGTCCCAAATGGGCCAACCTCTTTTTTCATCACAATAATCTTAACAGTTGTTGCTACAACCTCCAGCTTCTCTTATTGCCTTCCCATATGGAAAGTAGTTTAGAGGTGGGGTGGAGTGGAGACTAAGAGATCAGCTGGGTGTTGTGTTAATCCTGTTGAGAAAGAAAGGTGTGGTGGGATAGAGAGGTGGGCCAGTTTGAGAACTATTTAAGTAAGATGAATAGGACTTGAATGATTTTTCTGAAGTGAAATCTTCTTTAGATCCCCTTTGCTTTCAAAGTCCCAACTCCAAGAATGCTGTGTAAGGCCTGTATGACCAGGCTCATTTCTCCAGTCTACCCTCCTAGACACTATACTAAGCTAGTCTGAACTTCTAATCCATGGTTGCCTATTTATATTTAAAGAATTATTTATCTGAAACACACATACACAGAGAGCTGGAGATAGACAGCTAGAAGAGCTAGAGAGAGGTATCTTTCATCCACTTGCTCACTCTCCAAATGGCCATCACAGAGACCAGGCCAGGTTGAAGCTAGGAGCTAGGAACTCCATCTGGGTCTCCTATGTGGGTGGCAGGGATTCAAGTACTTGGGCACATCAGCAGGGAGCTGGATTGGAAATGGAAAGCCAGGACTTGAATTGACACTTTGATATAGAATAACTAACCTGTGATGCCACCGCCAAACCCTTTTAATACCTTGCTTTCTGCATTTGATTTCCCTTTGCATTACCCTGTTCACTTGAGTGTTTGTTCTTCAGATCTTGGTTTAAATGTTCCTTTTTTGGGTATTACCTTTTATACTGCCAAGTTTGAGGTAGATGCCTTTCTGTGGTCTTCCTCTGCACTGAGTGGCCAATGAATCATAGCACCTTGAAATGACAATTTAAGTCTCTCCTCCACTAAACTGCCTGGTGCTAGAGAGACCATGTCTTAACTGTTTTATGACCAGCTCCTACTGTATGGTCATCCCTGGATTCCATATGTTGAATGAATGAAAGCTTTTGTATTTATTCTTTAACATGTCTTTTGCTTAACTCTCGGTGGAAGGTCTTCTCTTTTGGTGTCATATTTTTTGCCATCCCTCTTTCCCCACACCCTTGTCCTTCCTTTCCTTCTCACTTCCTTTCTTCTTTTTACCCTTTCCCACATATTGAGCTCCTACTGTATACCAATGTTTTTTGTAAATTCTTTCCACTATTTATTTACACTTTCTGTAAAAGATTTATCTACTTGCTTTGTATTGTATTTTTGCCATGAATGTGGATAATTTTCAAGATTCTCATTAGCAGTGTTTAAACTTGTAAGGAGTGTAGTGGGCAAATACTTTGTGTGGAATTGTAGATATGGTGCCCTTGACCTGTAGTGATACCTCAGTCTTATTTTATTTTCTCTCTTAAACATATAAACATACCCAGAGAAACAGGCCTACTGGGTGTTTTCTAGAGGACTATATTTATGAGGAATATGAGGGTTATCTGTAGTAACTCACAGTGTA